CCTATGAATCAGAAGATTTGAACGTGTTGTCATAGAGCATTATTTTCCCACAGGGTCTCCAGGTGTCTGCAAAGCAGAAGGTGTCCCCATGGGATTTGTTTGAGGGTCAGAAGAACCCAGCTCCTCTCTCCTGGGCCTGGTTTGGGACTGTCCGAGTGGACCGCAAGGTGACCAAGTATGAGGAGCAGCATCACCTCCTTTTGTATCACACACACCCCATGCCCAAGCCCCGAAGTTACTACCTCGAGCCACTGCCCCTGCCTCCTGAGGAGGAAGAGGAAGAACCCACGTCTCCCATCTCTCAGGAACCAGAAAGGAAATCAGCTGAGCTGTCGGATCAGGGAAAAACCACAATGGATGAAGAGAAGAAAACAAAGGGGAGGAAGCGCAAGACGAAATCAAGCTCAAGAGTTGACGTAAGTACAAAAGTATAGAGAACTTTGTCTCATGAGCGTCTAGCTTGAGATTTCCTAGCACCCAAATTGTATCCCCCAGAAACATGACTAAGAGCAGTATAAGCCTTGTTGTAATTGATCCTAACGAGTCTCTGTTATTATTAACTGAATGGCACACCAACAGTGATTTGTCACAGAAAACAGGACCATAGCTTCCTCCACTTTTAATAATTCTGTTTAATTTGGGGCTTCTATTTTGAATAATGTTTAGTTAAATAAGCTAAATGCACCATGATTTTTCAGGTTTGAAACTTGAATTTTTTAGAGCTATAAAGTCCCGTTCCCTGGCATATTTTTATTATCAGGCGTGGCTTTTGGAGTGTTGGTTTCCACAGTACCAAAAACGGATTGCCGCCGAGTTGATTCCGACTCATTGGGAATATTATCTAGAAATGACCGCCATCACTGTTGGATGCCACTTGAACTTCAGTGACCTCTCCTTTAATCTTTCTGCCATATTAAGACCCAGGTTGGCACCCCCACAATCTGGCATCTGAATCACTCCACATGGATGGGCTTCTGATCTTTTCAGATGCAAAAGGCCTGAAGTCCATCTCATTTCCCAATGTCCCCTCCTCCTCCCTTACTACTCCTGAAGCTGCCTCTTCCCATTGAGATATATTCTTTAGTAAAATCGCAGGGAACAAACAGTTAAGCGCTCAGCTGCTAACCAAAAGGTTGGTGGTTTGAACCCACCCAGCAGCTCTGTGGGAGAAAGACATGGTGATCTGCTTTCATAAAGATAACAGCCAAAAAAAACCCTATGGGGCAGTTCACCTCTGTCACATGGGGTTGTTACAAGTTGAAAATCCACTGAATGGCACACCCAACAACAACTTCTAGGGCTAGACTAGAGAAGAGAGGATGGCAGGAGAATTGAGACATCTAGATGTGATCCTCAGGGACTTTTTAGCTGGTATAAGGAAGAGCAAGCAGGGGTATCTGACTTAGGGGTGGTGTCTGTTTGGAAGTAGTGTACCTTCTAGGCTAGGACCTGGTTCTGAAGTATCCTGGAGCCTTTCTGGCATAATTCTTATCTAGACCCAAGGTAATCAGAAAGGCCTCCTAAGACCAAATGATCAAGATACGTAGCAACGGAAGATGCTCATTCAGCTGTGGGTGGTGTTCCCTCCTAGTATTCTAAGTGTGCTTTTAGTATTTAGTAACAGAGCTCATTGGAGCTCTTTTTCCATGTCTTCACTCCCACTCCAATCCAGGCATGTTTTAAGTCAAGCAAAAGTTTTAACTCAAGTGAGTGATTTGCGGAGAACCTATAGGCCCTCTTGACGTCTGTCTTCCTCTTAATAAATAGGAAGGATTTGCACTAATTGTTTGTGTGGTATGTGGAATTAAGTAACTTTTTTTTTTTTTTTACCTTTGCATTGAAGGAGTATCCACAAAGCAACATTTACCGAGTGCCTCCTAATTACTCACCCATTTCCTCCCAAATGATGCATCATCCATCATCCACCTTGTGGGGTTACAACCTTATGGGCCAGCCCCAGCAGCCCGGCTTTTTCCTTCAGAACCAATCTCTTACTCCAGGTACGTGTAGAGATAGCACCTCCACCAGGTCTCTCCAAGATGGGAATAACTTGGGGTTTTCTTTGCTTCGAACCAGAAGCCTCCAGAGAATTTGGGGATTTCAAGAACTTGATGATTGTTTGACATTTCTGCAATTCCCCCTGCTCAAAGGTTTTTTGTTTTGTTTTTTTTTTTTCCTTTCCTCTAAAATGAGGTCTCTGTTCTGAGTTTATATACTAATTTTGAATTATTTTCATTGTTGGAGGGAAATAGCCACTGATCAGAATTCTAAGTTAGGAACTCTAAAGTTGATCAAAGTTTTATGTTGTTAAATTGTGTACATTCAAATCATATATAATTCCTATTAGTGCTTTAAAATAGTAGATAATATTGTACAGTGTCTTTCATTGTTTTCTTATGTTGTGAGTTTTAAATCATTTTTATATTATGAAACATCTTGACATTTGGTTCGGCAAGTAGGTTCAGGTATCAACAACAAAAACTCTCGTGTCCAGAGTAAACATTTGTGATTTTAGTATTGCTTTGATTTAAGCCAGAGTAGATTTTATTTCTCAAGGGAGGATGTTTCAAAATAAAACATCTCTTAATTGCAATGAATTTAATTTTCTTTTTACATGGAAGTGTGTCTGTTTTTAGTGAAATAGATTATTTTAAAATTTCGATCTACATTGTGTACAAACAAATAATTTTTTTTCTTATTATGTCCTGTGTTATGCTGTGATTTTTATTGTAACTTGGTATGACATTTAGAGGCCTAGGGATATAGTGATGAAATGTTTGATTCGTGGATTACAGCAGAAGAGAATCCGTAGTTTTTCCTGTAAGTTAGTGTTTAAGAGTCTGGAATTAGAGTATCTAGGTTCTGATCCAACTCTACCACTCTCTTGTTGTATAATCTTGGCCAAGTCCGAATTTCTCTGTGCCTCAGTTTGGACTTCTGTGAAATGGGCATACTAATATCTACCCTCATTAGGCGGTTCATTCATGTATTCATTTCTTCAGCAAATGTATTAAGCTTCACAATATGCCCGCTTGGGGTGCTGGGATATTGCAGTGAACAAAATGGTCAAAAATCCCTCCTCTTTTTAAAAGGATGAAATAAGTCTATATTACACCTACATGCACATGTGCATGTATCACTTAAATAAAGGAAAAGATAGCACTTAGGAGATGGGCTGATACAATGTACATTTTCAGTAGACGATATGGGCATATTCCCACCTCAGGGCTTTTGCACATGCTGGTTCCTCTGCCTGCAGTGCCCTTCCGTTAAATATCTGCGTGGCTCACTGCCTGACCTCCGTGAAGTTTCTGGTCACTGACCACTACATTTCTTCCCTATACTCTCTGTCCCCCTCCCCTTCTTCCTGTTTCTCCATAGCACTCAGCACTTGCTTACAGATGATATGTTTTACTTTCTAGTGTTTTTTTGTCTGCCTGTCACAGAATGTAAGCTCCGTGAGGGCAGGTTTTTTTTTCCCTCTGTTACATTCACTGCAGTATCAGAAAGTGAAGCAGCGTCTGACTTGTAGTAGGCTCTTAAAAGATCTGTTGTTGAATGAATGAATGGAGACTAAAAAGGGCAAACTAGATTTAATCACAGATGTGGAAAATAATACACC